TGCAATTATGAATTCCTTGCGTCCCAGGTCTTAGGGCCATATTATCAGTTTCCGTAATTGCTGAGAACTTTCTTCTGTCTATTAACTGGAAATGAAAAAAATCAACAGTCCTTTCACTACTGTCACACGTACATAAGAAAACTAGGCGGGGCTAATAATTTGTGCATCCGAAATATGCGTTGGCTTTTCAGGATTATAAGCGCCCCACTGCCCAGACATGGATCAGTTGAAGGGCGACGCCGTTTGCTGCGTCTGCTACTTATGCAGTTGTTGGCTGAATGCTGCTCGCATGTCGAGGAAGAATGGAAAGTTGCGGTTGCCTTTCTAGAGGCAAACTGCGAAGTGTCGGCTGCAGTCAAGAGAGAAGCTATAAATGGTAAGAAAGGCAAATCGGTTAAGTGATCTGATCCAGCATCGGTTTTGGTAGAGGGCTTCAGGCGCAGGAACAACTGTTCACCAGGCTATTGTTCTGACAACGCTGTGACGTGGGCTGAATCGGAATACCAGCCAAGAAGACTCAATCATTTCAAACTCAACTGTCTCTGGAGAAGAGTGGGAATTAAGTGCCAGGAAGGGGTGTCGGATAGCGATATTATTTGAGAGAATCGTTGTTCTCAGTATCCCCGCCATGCCGCGAAAGATACAACTGCTATGTATGCCAAATTGTGGTTATTAAGTACGCCGACCACGCCTCGAGTGCTTGCGGGAATGACTGCAAGGAGAGTTTGGATACCTACATAGAGCACTTAAAAAATCAACCCTGATACTTGGGCAGGTCTTGCTCAAATTCGATAGACCTAGCGCATTGTTATGAAGGCTCAGACAGTCGTCTTCGAAGCCAACTAACTAGTCCCTAAAAAGAGAAAAAGGTAGACCCACAAGACTCAAGTGCCGTGGACAAAGAAAACAGACGCCCAACATTCACCATTATGTCTCAACTGTTAGCGTACATTCTGGAACCGGATCGGCCTCGATGGAGCTTCTCAGACTCAGTGCAAAAAAGGCTGAATGTCGCATGCCAGGACGTGGACAATTGCGCGAGAAACTTCCTTTAATGTTGTTTAGTAATTGAGTGGGAACTGGGTGGTGCGTATGACATGCTTGCTGTGAGTTGTTCAGTTTTGTTATCCACTCTTTCTGTGCTCACCTCATGACGTAGTTTTTAACCGAAACACGGTGAGTGAGGGAGCAGAGAGTGCGAAAACGTCTGCGCAACTCTGCTTCACTGTGAAGTAATGCAGACCCACGTCAACGGTTCTGCGTCCGCCCTCCGGGGTACACAATAGACGGCGTCGCAAGCGAGTTTCGAACCATTTTGTGGTCTGCTCCGCCTAGTCACGCGTCCAGTCCACACGCCTAAATCTGTTGCCCGTGCTTTCCTTGAGGTCACCAATGAGATGCTTGATCTTGGTGATCATAGGATTCCACTGTGAGTGCGTTCC